TCTCTAATGGACTTTCTTTGACTCTGTCACACCACAACACTCTCACACTGTCTCACACACTAGTTCACTCTCTTACACATTCACCCTCCCTCTGGTCTCGCCCATTGCCATCTTCTCTCTCTCTCTTTTTTGAATCCTCAGCCAAGGATATTTTTCTATTTATCTTTAGATAGAGTGGAAGGGAGCGAGAGAGAGAGAGAGAGAGAGAGAGAGAGAAGCATTGATGTGAGAGAGACACATCGACTGGTTGCCTCCGGCACGACCCCAACCAGGGCTGGGAACGAACCACATCATTTACCGGAACTGAACCCATGACTCTTTGGGTTCAATTTGCTGTAACCACTGAGAAAACTAGCCAGGACTAAGACTTTTTTTAGAGAGCCTATACCATAGGCTCAGATGAGTGTGAGCTTGAACAGGATGACAGGGTGGTCAGGGGAGTGGGGCTTATGCAGCCTCCTAGATTGATGCAGATTGAAGGAGAGTCTTCACCCCAGGAAAAGGGGCGTCAGTTTCAATGTGGCTTCTTTTGTAAATATTTGGTTGTAAGACTTTTGTTCAGCTGTCTTCCATTGGTTATTTAGGTTGTTGTATAAATTTAGTTATAATTCCAATTCAGGGCTGGGAGGAGGAGAGAGCATCTTCCACCAGCTCTGCTCCCATCTCAACACTTCTACTTTAATCCTTTGTGTCTGAATTTCTATTTTCTTTTAGTTTCACTTCAGTTTAACCATTCTTTCTTTTAATTTCTATTCTCTCCAATTTTTTCAAATTTTCTTTTAATATTAATGGTGAAAATATTAATAGTTCTGTGTTGTTTATTAGAAAGAAAATCATGTAAAAATGTACACATATGTATACATACATATACTTCTTTACCTGGGAAAAATATTTTAGACTCACCAAATATTTTATTTGTTAACATTTACTGAATTAGGTTAATCATCTCACATCACCACCAGAAAAAAGGAAACAAAGGATTAGGGTAATTACATGTACTCTGAATTTCTCTATGGCTCCTTTAATTCAGAAAATTTTGTGTTTTAAATATATTCAGTTTATTTCATTCATGAACTATAAAAAATTGTTTAAAATAAAATAATTTTTCAGAACTAATAAATTCAGCAACATTGTGGGATACAAAATCAATTTACAGAAATTTTAGTGTTTAATAACAAATAGTCTGAGAGAGAAATTGAGAAGATAATTCCATTTACAATTGCATCATAAAAAATAAAGTACTGGGAGTAAACATAACCTAGGAAGTGAAAGACCTGTACATTGAAAACTATGAGATATTGTTGAATGTTATTGAAGAAGACACAAATAAATGGAAAGATATACTCTGCTTACTGATTGGAAGAATTAATATTGTTAAAATGCCCATACCACAGGCTCAAATGGCACCACTTGTGCTAAAAGTTCATAATACCAAACCTAGATTTAATACTGGATCTAATAGAAGTTAGATCACAATTTTAATAAACCAGGTTGGAATTTTCTGGTCAAGCAGCAGTAAGGTAATCTGCCTTGTGGGTCCTCTCCATCCCCCATGAAAAGAAGGTATCTGCATGATAAAAACCCTTCTTGTTCTCTTTCCCCAAAGAAAAGATGTTAAGCTCCACCCCCAAATTCTTTCTTTTCTGTTATTAATAGCTCCCTTGACCCACTCCTTTTCTATAAAAACCTTCAATTTTGTACAACCCTTCAGAAATTTATCTTAGTTGTAAGATGGGATGCTGTCTGGTTCATGGATCACTTAATAAAGCCAATTACATTTTCAAATTTACTAGGTTGAATTTTTAAAAACATACTTAAAGCAATCTACAGATTCAATTCAGTCTCTATCAAAATTCCATTGTCTGTCCAGCCACTGTGGCTCAGTGGTTGAGCATTGAGCCATGCACCAAAAGGTCATCGGTTCAATTCCCGGTCAGGACACATGCCCAGGTTATGGGCCTGATCCCTAGTGGGGGGCATGCAGGAGGCAGCCAATTGATGTTTTCTCTCACTGATGTTTCTATCTCTCTCTCCCTCATACTTCTTCTCTCTCTAAAATCAATAAAGGAAAAAAAATTTGTTTTAATTTTATTGTCATTTTTTACTGAAACAGAACAAACAACCCTTAAATTTGCAGGGAACCACAGAAGACCCCGAACAGCCAAAGCAATCTTGAGAAAGCAAAATGCAGCTAGAAGCATCATGCTCATGGATTTCAAGCTATAGTATTTAAGGCAGTACAGTATTGGCATAAAAACAGACTCACAGTTTGGGAAAAGCAAGAGAATTATATTAGCAGGGAGGAAGGGATCAATGGGAAAGAAAAGGGGGGACATCTGTAATATTTTCAACAATAAAGATTAATAAAAAAACAGATTCATAGATCAATGAAACAGAATAGTGAGCCCAGAAATAAACCCAGGAACATAAGGTTATTAATTTAGGAAGAAGGAGCCAAGAATAGACAATGGAAAAAGGATAGTGTCTCCAATAAATGATGATTGAGAAATTAGACAGCCCTGGCTGGTGTGGCTCAGTTGATTGAACATTATCCCATGCACCAAAAGATTACCCATCCCATCCGGGTCAGGGAACATGCCCAGGTTGCAAGCTTGATCCCCAGTAGGGAGTGTGAGGAGGCAGCCCACTGGTGTTTCTTTCTCACATGGATGTTTCTCTTTCTCTCCTTCCTTCTCCCTTCCTCTCTCTCTAAAATCAATAAAAACATATTTAAAAAAGAAAAATTCAACAGATGCATGCAAAAGAATGAAACTGGGCCACTAATGTAGGGGTTCAGAATGAGTAACCACAAGATGTAGATGTGGATTATTTTGAGTTGAAGGCAATGGAGACTGTGGGAACCAAATAGAAACTTTTATCTCTCTCTTAAAGATTTTAAATTTGGTGCCTTGCCCATAATAAGAGCTATCATCAGAGTTAACTATTTATGACCAAAGTATAGGTCAGGACAAACTTCTAATTACTGAATATCTGCTGTTCCTACTGTCCTGCTAAAGATCTGTCTCACCTCTGAAGCTCCAGGTGCCTTACCTCTTCTTTAGCTCAGAATGTCATATATACCTCATTTCCCTTTGTCTCTGCACCTCTTGTATATGTATCTGTTACGGTACTGCTTCCGTGCCAGGGGCTGGCCCTGCCCCAGCACGGTCTGGGAACTTTCACGTGTCAGGGGACCTCTAGGCCATTGACTCACCCAGGAAAGATTTCAAGGATGACTCAAAGTGAGAATAAAGCTAGTTTTATTCAGGTAGAGAAAAAGAAAGAGGCTCGGGCATGGGTGCCATTGTAAAAGAAAAGTACATGTCTGAGTGGACAAGGGCTAACTCAAGAGTGAGTTGTGTATGTGGTGAGTTAGTTCTGGGGATTTTATGTGTGTCCAGGATGGAAGTGAGGGTTATCTCCAAGCTTTGTGAAGCCAAATTCTGACTCTGCCTGCTGGTTGGAAGGGGGCTGGTTCCTAACGTGGTTGTTCTGGAAGTGTCATGGCATTTGTCCCCCTTAGCTCCTCTTTCTACTGTGGTGTCAGTTTTCGTTATAATGATGGTATAATGAGCTTTGGGGTCAGTATTGGTTTCTGGTCAATTTTCTTCCATCTTGAAATGATCTGGTTCTAGCCAGTCCTTGTTGTTGTTGACCTCTAACCACTGCAGGGGGTTTCCTGCCATTAATTGTTTTCTCTGTTATTATGCCCAGATGTGGGGGGTTCTGGTTTCTTTCTATCTTGCCTCATATCCATGTAGAAGTCACTGGGAGATAAATATTTGATAATCAATTTTTCCATGTAATATTGTAGGTATTCTGAACATTGGGCTGAATAAAACAATAAATCTAGGAGGTTTGGCTCTGCGGTAAGAGTGTCGATCTGCGGTCCAGAGAGACCCGGGTTCGGTTCCTGCTAAGGGCACATACCTTGGTTGCAGTTTGTCCCTGGCCCTGGTTGGTTGTGAGGGTGGCAGCCACTCGATGTGTCCCTTTCACGTCGATGTTTCTCTCTCTCTCTCTCTCTTCTTCTTCTCTCTCCCTCCCACTCAACCTGAATAAAAAATGGAAAAAAATGTCCTCGGGTAAGGATAAAAACAAAAAACAAAAAACTAGGAGGTTAGTTATAAATTCCAGTAGCATGTTACTAGTGTAAATGCCTGACATTAAACTTTTGATGTATGAAGCATCTGTTTCAAAGACATCCATCCCAAATAACCCTATTGCTAGCTACTAGAGAAGGTTACTAGAGAAGCATCCAAGTCTCCCCTCCCAACTCAATCTTTCTTTATCTCTTTCTCCCTCTTCCCTCTGCCCCCATCCTGAAACCTTCTGGTGTGGCCCGTAGGATGTTGTGTATCCTCCAGGATCTGTGAGTAATAAACCTCGTGATTTCATAAATTCCTGATGATTGTTGCACTTAAGGACCACAAGGGCCCATCCAGGCACAACATTGACTGAGACTTATAAGGAGCAATGATAAAGTCTACATTATCAGGAAGAACAGTTAAGGTACTAATGTATAAAGAATGAGAAACACAAAGTTAAATTGAGGTTTCAGATTTTCCTGAAATGAAATTATATACATGAAGTGAGTAATCAAGTGAAGCTTTTTCCACATGAGTAATACAACTTAGACTATCTATCTATAAAAAAGGAATAACTTACAATGATTTATGTCATTCGAGAAGAAATTAATCTTAAGAAATCCATGTTGCCCCAAAATAAACTGGAATTTATAAATATTTTTTATCAGTTTGGAAAAAGCTATGTGAGGTTGGAAAAAGGGAGGAAGGCAAAAACTGTCTATAGAATAGACAAAGTAGAAAGCTTAATACAATGGTTACTTAAATTGTATAGAGAAGTTGAACTCAAACAAACAAAAATTCCAGGAGATAAATAAAAGGAGCAAGTTCTACAAAAACAATCTGAGGAAAGAATCTCAATTGCAGGTTTTCAGGCTTGAAGCCATAAACTCAAGTGTATTTTTTCAGACTCACTACAAGTGGTTTTTTTTATAGCTACCATCACAAAGAATCTTTTCATGGCCCTTTTTATGTCTTTGTTCCTTAGACTGTAAATGAAGGGGTTCAGCATGGGTGTGACCACGGCGTATATCACTGAGGCTATTGTACTTGAGTATGAGCTATTGGTAGCAGCAGAGCTGAGGTACACTCCTAGGCTTGTTCCATAAAATAAGGAGACAACTGAGAGGTGAGATGCACAGGTAGAAAATGCTTTAAACTTCCCTTGAGCTGATGGGATTGTATGTATGGAGAATACTATCTTAGAGTATGAGTAAATGATACCAACAAAGGGACCACCACCCACTAGGGCAGTTGTAAAATATATCACAATGTTATTAAGAAAGTTGTTGGAACAGGCAAGTTGGGTCATCTGATTCAGTTCACAAAAAAAGTGGGGAATCTCTAAGACTCTACAGAAGGACAGCTGCAACACCATTAAACTTTCTAACAAGGAATTTAGGGTACTAATGATCCAGCACACCAGAACCATCAGTCCACAGAGCCTGGGGTTCATGACGACTGTGTAGTGCAGAGGGTGACAGATGGCCATGAAGCGGTCATAGGCCATTACAGTCAAAAGGAAGTCATCCAACACTGCAAAGAGTATGAAAAAATAAATCTGTGCAATGCAGCCTTCATAGGTTATAAGTTTGCTCTGTGTCTGGATGTTCCACAGCATCTTTGGGACGGTGGTGGAGGTGAAACAGATGTCTACCAAGGACAGGTTGGAGAGAAAGAAGTACATGGGTGTGTGGAGGTGGGAGTCTGAGCTGACAGCCAGGATGATGAGCAGGTTTCCCAACACAGTGATCAGGTACATGGAGAGGAAAAGCCCAAATATGAGGGGCTGCAGTTCTGGTTCCTCTGAAAATCCCAGAAGAAGAAATTCTGATGCTCTTGTAAGATTCCCTGGTTCCATGAGGTAGAGGCAACTTACAAGAAAAAGGAAAAGAACATGAGTAATTTTCATGCAAACTGGTATTACTAGCATAGCTCTAATGCTACAGTTTATATTTTGCAGTCACAAAATTAATTTTGGTATGGATTTGTTCCCCTCTAAGAGTTTCCTGTCATCTTACAGTATAAATTTTTGTCCCAATCTGCTTTTTTCTTAAAGTGTCAGGTATACTACAGTTTTAAGAAACTTTTCATGCATTTTTCTGGCACTGTCTGGATTGTGAGTAGAGGGTGCTGAAGAACAAAAATCCCTCCAAGTCAATCTTGGAGAAAGAATATAGAAGCAAATAATAGAAATATATAAATATAACATTATAGATGGTGACAGATTATGTGAAGAAAATGAAAGCAGAACTAAAGGAGAAAGTGACTAGGGTGTTTTATGTTTTATGGGTATTTACACAAGACCTGCAAACAAGATGGCATTTGAACACAGAATTCAAGGAATAAAGGAGGGACATCAAGGTTATGTGGGCAAGTGCATAGCTGGCAGAAGAAATGGCCAGTGCACAGGCCCTAGGGAGGAGCTGAAGGGGTTTAGTGATCTTCTCATAGGTACTATCAGAGTATGTGATGGGCTTTGATTATAATTTTTTCAGGTTGCTTTTAGTCAGTGGGTCTCAACGAGAAATGATTTTGCCCTTAGAGTATCTTGCAATGTCTGAAGAGATACCACTACACTTCACAAAAGAGTACCTCCCAAATTATTATCCCTCCCCAAATGTCAATGGTAAAAGATGAGAAAACCTAGTTTAGATCACCACTTTCAATTTCAATGTTCATATAAAGTCCTCAGGAATCTAGTTCAAATGTAGAATCCAATCCATCAGTTTCAGAGCTCAAAGGGTCTGCAGCTCCCCGGTGCTATTGATACTGCAGGTCCTGGTCTGTAGACCACTCCCTGAGTAGGAAGGCTACAGTTCTGTGTTAAAGTTAGTTGCAAGTAGTTTTAGGTCTTATGATCCAAACATTGTCTTTGCATAGAGTTTTGAAGGAATATTTGTATTCATGTATTTCTTCACTTATTCTAGAGGCTGTGATTAAATCTGTTTCTATATATAAGGGCTCTTGAATGATACAAAAATAATATAGTTCTAAAAAAACAATTTGTAGCAGATAGCATGAGAACCTCTAAAAAGTCCACACCCTAATCCTCAGTACCTTTGAATATGTTATTTTTATTTTTTTAAAATCCTCACCAGAGGACATTTATTTACCATCCATTTATCTTCAGATAGAGTGGGAGGAAAGGGAGGGAGGGAGGGCGGGAGGGAGAAAGAGAGAGAGGGAGAGAGAGAGAGAGAGAGAGAGAAATATCGATGTGAGAGAGACACATCGACTGGTTGCCTCCTGCACGACCCTGACCAGGGCTGGGAACCAACGGCAACTGAGGTACATGCCCTTGACCAGAACTGGACTGCAACCCTTTGTTTGGCAGGCTGACGCTCTAACAGCTGAGCCAAACCAGCCAGGGCTGAATATGTTATTTATTTATTTTATATAGCAAGAGAGGATTAGAGTAACAGAATGAAACAAGTTGCTAATCAGCAGAATTCAAAATAGAAGAAGAGCCTGGATCATCTGGGTGGGACTAAAGTAACCAAAATGGTCTCCTAGATGCAGAAGAGGGAGACAAGAAGAAAGTGTACACAGCTGGCTTTCATGAAGGAGGAAGTGCCCTGAGTCAAGAAATGTAGGTGGCCAGCAACACAAACTGGAGTTGGAAAGAAAAGAGATCCTCCCCTGAGCCTCTAGTAGGAACCCAGCCCTGCACACATCCTCATATTAGCCCAGTGAGACTCATTTCAGGCTTCTGGCATCTAAATCTGTAAGAGTCTGTATGTGTTCACTTTAAACAACTACCTTTTTTGCTGTAGGAATATTTTACAACAGCAATAGCAATCTAATAGAAACATTTATTCAGTAAAATTTGTTTGAGGGAACAGACTTTAAGTCTCTTTATTCATTAGCTTTCTTGGGTAAGGGCATATTTGAGAACCCACATGCAGTAAAAATGTTAAAACTGTTTGGGGGTATTCCATTCCATTAGCTGGTACAGTGAAATCCTCACTGCATTATTGTAAACTGATGCATGCTGACTCTGTAGCATTAAGATTTAAAACACAATGGGTGACCTTAATTTCTCCATCACTGAATTTTAAAAACGATAGTTTCTCAGCACACTATACTCTTTGGCTAGAAGTCAGTTGGTTCTCAATTTAAATTCCCCAAGTGCATAAAAGAATTTCTCATTCAAAGTATAGAAAAATGACCACTGCAGGAAAAGGCTGAGCGTGGGATAGGAATTTATATTAACTGTTCCAATGGAGAAAGTAAAAGTTTACAAAACCCCAAAATTTATGCAGCCTCGCCAGTAATGAAGTAAAACTATTTAGTATTTCCCTTTAGGCTTATTGAATACTTTTTTCATGGGAATACCCAACATGAGAGAAGATACTGAAATGTATGTCTCACTAACTGCATTGCTAAATACTAGTATCTACGTTAATACACTCTCACTTCACTGCATTGTCCTTCACAACTAATACTCTGTCTCCTTCTCTCTGAAGAGCAAAACTACTGAATATGTTTTCATGTTACTGCAACCATTTTATGCATCACGCTCATTCTACAGTGTCCTCCATCTGGACTCCCATTCCCATCACTTACTTGTCAACTGAGGGCCCTGTATTGCAGATTCAAAGAGACACATCCTTATTAACATATTAAGCAAATTAAGTATAAATTAGTTACTTAACCAAGAATACAGAGACATCTGGCTTCAGGGCTAGGTTTACTAGGGTCACAGGACTCAAGTAAAAGTTTTCAGGTTCTATCCTCTCTGATTTTTTCCTGATGAACCTACTGGGCTCTCAGACTCACCTGAATGGGGTCTCTGAGAGGAAGGTCTCTGTGTGGAAGTCTAATTGATCCCTGGATGGTTGATGATGGAGACTGAAGCTCGTTCCCCACAAAGACAGCAGGAAGGAGTGAAGCATCAGTTTCTGAGACAGCTTATGAATCCAAAGCAACAACCATGTGCTGTCCACCAATGATATACAAGCCGAGGGACTGCACAGGAGACAGACATATTTACAGCTCTCTATCTGCTCATCAGGCACATTTCCTTAATGTTATTCCAACATCTGAGTATGTGATTTCCCTCTGGGCTTCTGGAATAAACAGAATGGAAAGGCTTCCTAATGATTCCCTGATCCCAAGAGACCAGGTTGGAAGTCAAATAAATATAGCTTTTATTTCTCCTTAATCTTTTTGCTTTCCAGAGGTCTGACCTCCTACCACCTTATCCCAACCCTGAGTTAACATTTTCTCCAATGTCTGAGACTAAGAAACCTGTCAGGGCCAGGTCCCTTTCACCCTCAAGCACTGATTGCAGTGGGGGCACAGCCCTGATGTCTCCAGAGAATTGCTATTCTCCTCTCCAACAAGGGGAGAGCTGTGTTTGTTGATATGCAATTGCAATCCTGGTCACCACACTCTTTTTTAAAAAAAATTTATTTATTTATTTATTTATTTATTTATTTATTTATTTATTTATTTATGTTACAGATGTTTCTCCTTTTTCTCCACTGATTCCTCCCCACTTCCTCCCCACCCTGTCCCCAGCTATGTTGTCCATGTTCATTGTTCATGCATACATGCATATAAGTTTTGTGGTTTATCTCTCACCCACCACCCCCTCTTCTGGGGATTGTCAGTCTGTACCCCACTTCCACATCTCTGGGACTACCCCATTCCTCAGATTGTTATGTTCATTATATTCCACAAATAAGTTTAGCTTCCTGACCTTTGTCAAAATGATAAGGGATTTTGTACTTATTTCACAAATTAAGAGCTCTCATTTAGTCCCTTATAAGTAAGATACATTATAAGAGATACACTTAGGTATTCTTATACTACATAACTGAACTTAGCATATTATAAGCATCATCTGGCTTAATTTTTTAAAGTCTATTCTCTGAGGTAGTACTATTATGACCTCCACTCCCCTTTGCAGAAATGGGCTTGAAGGGGTTTAGTGATCTGCTTAAGTACAAGATGAGCAATGGATGGACCTTGATTGGACTGTGTCAAGTTGCTTTCAGTTTTCAAACTCTGGGTCAGTAGTTCTTTACTTGAGATGATTTTGCACCTGGAGATATTTGGCAACGTCTGGAGGGAGGCTGCTAAACACTGTAACACCCAACACAAATAATTATCCTGCCCTATTGGCAATATGAGAAAGTGAGAAAATCTAGACCAGCACTTCTTCTAGTTCAATGTGCATTTACATCACCCAGGATTATAGTTCAAATTCAGGTTCTTGTGGGCCAAAGATTCTTTGAATCAAAGAAGTTCCCAGGTGGTGTTGATGCTGCAGGTGCTGGTCTATGGACCACACTTTGAATACTAATGGTGTGGCTGTGTTAGAGGCAGGTGAGTCTTCAGAACCAAAAATCATTTTGCATGTAATTTCGAATGTTTAGTATATTCAACTCATTCCAGAAACTGTTATAAATTTATTGTTCAATTATTTTTATAGGAATTTATAAATTACATGATATACCTCTGAAAAAACCTTATTTTATTCTTTTATATAAGGGTCCTTGTGTGACACCATGGCAAATATTTTTAGAGTAGGGAGAATGAGAGCTTCCAAAGATAGCCACATCATAGTCCCCAGAAACTTGTAATATGTTACTTTTTATTGCAAGAAAGTATTATAGTAGCAGATTGAATAGTTTAGCTAATCAGCTGGCTTTAAGATAAGATTGGCCATGCTCATGTAGGTGAAACTAATGTAATCACTGTAGTCCTAACATTTAGAAGAGGAAGGAAGGATTTTTGGAATCAGAGAGAGAT